AAGAGCCTGCGAACCTCCTAACGAACCTTTTCAAGGTCAAGGTCCACCAAGGTGTGCTCTTCTTCGTTCCTCGAAAGGCTCGCCTCTTCCACCTGCCCTGCTTTCCAACAGAGTAAAGGTTTCTCCACATAGCAGTCCCAGTTAGTGGATCAGGACCCTGCAGGGGCCGCCGTGGGATGACAGATTTAGTTGGAAAAGAATGTGCCTGTTGTACGAAAGCGACGGCTCATCAGATACTTGCCAATTTGTGATCATGTGAACTATTGAAAAGGAGCCCAACGTCTGATCAAGAACCCCCTGCCTCCGCGCTGTGACGAAGGTAGGGGCTGCTCCTTGATTTAAAACATTTAAATCAGTTGTTTGCAAGTACTCCAGAAGGTGGTCACCCCTCTAGTTCGTGGCCGTGCTGCCCCACGCATGAATGGTGTGCGTCACAGCCAACCATAAGGGGAAACCCATTATTTCGACAGTACTCTATCAACTCAGCTAGCTCCTTGCTTGGTGGAGCCTCTTCCGAGTCGTACGGGAGATAGACCAACAAGTGCCTGCTCGTTCTCTGCCATCTTTCAGGTGACGTCTTAGACCTACAAGATCCCTGAAACAGAAATCAGCCATTAGATAAGATTCGAATCGTCTGTCGACATAAATGCAAGTCATAGGGTTCAGTTGGTTGTCCTTTTTATAACAAAAATAGTCCTCCACCTGGCTCAAAGCTCTTACTCGTCGCCTGTAAGCCCAAGGTTCTTATATGAGTCATACGCCTACCTGGTTTGCAGGAAGTTGGCCGCCTATCAAACAGATCGCCCCCTTACTGTGCTGCAAATTGCTCGGTAAGAAGTTTACCTTGTCCATCACTGATGTACTAGGTTCCACTCTCCCCTAGTGATACCCACGGGGTCGACCCAAACCGCCACACGAGCCAAAAGCTCGTCTTCCTCGATCTCTGAGACCGCCGGTAATAATCAATTTAGCTATACTGTATTCTAAAATTAGGAAATTAATTAATTACGTTGACAGATGCCCGCAAAAGGTTTAACTAACCAAGCATGCGGCACATTTTCAACGATTTACTGGTTTATATTACTTTTATAATTATCTTAAAAAATGCACGAGTGGGTACAGTGTAGCCACCCTGTGGTAATAAATAATCCCTAAATTTACCTCTAAGGTGGAATTATTTTCAAACAATCTTGAGTCCTGGAAATGAATTGATGTTGAATGTCTTTATTTTTAATAATGTAAAACAAGACCTGACTACAAAAAATTTATAAATACAATAAGAGTGTGGTGAATAGTTAATAACTTTCGAAAGGTAATTACTCTTATACGAAAATAAAGTTGTAACAGAAACTTCAAAAATTAATGTTAGAGGCAGGGTTATACACCAGCTGGATATTAAAAGTTAAAAAGTTTCTTAACTTTAATGAACTGTTACTGCAGTAAAAATAGGGTCTGTAATTTCTTACTTATTTCTCCATTTCTATCGCTTTTTTGTTCATTTGCAACACTCTTCTGAAAGTGTTATTATCTTTGTTTCGTGACCGCTTAAAATAAAATAACGGTACTTATTGCCCTAATTGTTATGGTTTCTGCTAAATTGTTAATAAGATTACTCTATTCATGTTAAATTGGAATACTTCCCTTGCTTTAAAATTGATGCGTTCGTTCCACAAAGGCCGAAAATATTTCTTGCGGTAAATAGCCTAATGGCGTTGGTATATTACATCTAAATGGGATTAATTTCTGTTAAGGGACAATTGGAATAACTTTCAAATGAGATATGATTGCGATTGTACTTTCCACTGGGCTACATGTAGTCGTATAGTAGTTGACGATATTCTGTGCAACCGTACCTTTTTGGATGTTATTATAAAACTATATACTTACGTAAATATTCTAATACAATCGCACATAGGTACGTACTTTTCCATTACATTATTATGAGATATGACAAACACGGTTTTGTTCTCTATAACTGCAAGTGCAAGAATCCACCACTAAAGTACTTACTTGTAATTGTTTGGAAAGTGTATTGGTCGTTATCATACTGGACATTTAATTTCTTAATTAGGTTTTAATCGATAAGGTAAGTGCTACTTTACTAGGTACAGGTGCATTATGTTTATTTTCTAACGATTTCGGTACATAGGTACCTAAGCTGAAACGCATCTTCTCAAGATGTCGCGAATTGAATAATTTAATTCATTTTGATAACTGTAAGAATTTCCTAATTGATATTCTACATCAGTCAATCTTAATTTGAATATGAATTTGACTCTGAATTTCAAATTTAAACCTGAATTTGAATCTATGCGTTGGTACGAGTTCATTCAACAGAGAACGGATTGTCGGAATTCCCATGTTAATACCCCAAACAGAAGTTGATCACCCAATTCGTTACGGAACAAAATTACCTATTCTTACACATTTGGGACGTTCGGTCATATAATTTTCGAGATTAGCGACGAAACTGTAAACATGCTCGTGCACATTAGCCAAGTCATAATTTGCGCTCGGAAAGTTGATAATATGTTTATTGTACCGAGGGCGATCGAACCATCATATAATACTAAAGACGAACTTATATACCTACTTCAAATAGTTACAATAACGACATTTAGTGTCAAAAATGAATAAAAAGAGTTAAAAGGTATCTTAATAACAAGAACATTTGAAACGAAGTCCGAAGTTTTCCACAATCACAAAAGGTTTACCTAATTTCGACGAAATGTAAGGTTATGTTGAGGAACATCTGCGTATACCAATAATACTGGGTTAAGTGGACGAGCACGAAAAAAGTTTCTTTTTTGTTATCGTTGTCCGTTGGGGATTTATTTTTGGCGCATTTCCACAAAAATTTAAAAAAAATGCGCTATTGTGGCCACTTTGTCCGTCCGTCCGTCCGTCCGCTCGTTAGTTGTAAAAAACCAAAAAACCGTTTTTTACATGTTCCATAATTTTACACTTTTGTCGTTTATTAACGATCCTAGAGATCTTTTTTTATCTATAGAAGCATTTAAATGAAATTTGATGCATAGGCGCTTGGAAAATCTAACGTTAGTTTCAAAATTTAGATTTGCGGATGCACAGTTCCAACTTTCTTATTTAGAAAAGCATTAAAATCTCATAAACAGAAATTAAAGTAGCACGTCAAAAATGGATTGCGCATGTGCACCGCTATCTTTCATTAATGACCATTGTCCGCACCTGTTGCTGAAAACAGAATTGGGAACAGGCGGACAGAAAGTGCAAAATCATAAATTACCTATATGCACCGGAAAGAAAGTAGGTACTGTACTGTATTGAGTTGCATTGTTTATTACAAATACAATGATGTAGGGCACTCTTTTTAGGTGTGTCATTTACTGGAACCATCAATGTATTTATTTTGACATTCGGTCAACGCCTACTACACCAAACAGTTAAACATTTAATAACAAGCAGTTTTTGTTACTTACATAATAAATAATTTTTAACATTTTGATGTACATAGTAGCCATTGGCAAATAATTCATTCATCGTGCCTGTAAATGACATAAGTACCAAATAAAAAATAACATTGTGCCATACATCGTTATATTCGTAATAAAAAATGCTACTCAATAACAGTACCTAAGTCGGTACTTTTTTCCGGTCCACATAAAAATATGAAGTTGATCACCTGTTGCTGAAAATAGAATTGGGAACAGGCGGACAGAAAGTGCGAAATCATAAACGAACTGGGTCTGGGTCGCTCGTTAATTAAAAAAAGAACGAACTCCATGTTTAATTTAAAAGCAGTAATCAAATTTACACATAAAAAGGAATTGATATTCATGCAGGGTGGCCCTTTAATATTGGTACCCAGGCCAAACGAAACATCTGCATGAGGTTGTTTACACATTGTACTACGCACTTCGTCAATCTAATTTGATGCGTTAGACACGCTAGATGTAGAGGCTACAGGCTACACTTTCTTATTTTTTATGGGCACCATATTGGATTTACATTTGAATGCATCGCTTTCAGTCATGTTGATTCAGCAAGATCTAGTTACCCGTGGGTGTTTTGTTGAGAAATGAATGTAAATCTTTTGATTTTGAAATTTTTTGTAAATTTATGTTAAAGTATAGGGTGTGACACGTCAACATTTTTCTTTTTGTGTCCGCTATGTCATTCCGCAAAAATCCAATATGCGGCGCCCATGAGAAATAAGTAGCCAGTATAGCTTCTACATCTAGCGTGGTATGGAAGTTCTGATAAATTCATATTCTCCGAAATAAAGTGTCCATAGAAAGTGCCAACGGAAACCGTCCATTTCGGACCGTTTAAGCTAGGAAAAATAAAAACTAAATTTGACATTTTCAGTTTTTCGGTGGAATTTTAGTTACTTTCAAAAATTTTTCAACAATTTCAAAAGCGTCTTTTTAGTCACAAAAACGAGCAACTCTGCTAACCTACACTGTATCTCCGTTACGGAGATCCCAATGGTGAACCACCCTGTACATTAGATATAATGTAGGTAGCTAAAAGTCAGATTTTTCTGTTGATTCTATGTTCACTGCGTTCTAAATATCGAAAAAGCACTTTTCAATCCATATTTCGTCATTGGTCTGTTTCTGTCTTGAATAGTAAGAATTTCAAAATATCGAGTTAATTTCATTGTAATTTCGAAAATTTGTATTATTTTAGCAGCCTGGTTTTGGAGTGTATTAAATTTCAAACTCGAATTTCCTTCGTTCCTTTGCTTTAGCGTCGTGGCATCGTTAGTGTCCATTATATTATATTATATTATATACATTATATTATATTCTAATGAATGGTTGCGAAAATGTAAATGGGATACGAAATAATGATAACTAAAACATTTAAATAAATGCGAAACGCAATATGCTATGCAAATACCTACTACAACGTTAATAAAAATTCAATTTATAAAACAAACGAGTGCATGAACGCATGTTTGTGGATATAATTTTCCCAGGGAAATGATTAATGAACTCGATTTCTTTTTGTTTCAGCTAACACAAATCAGTATGCTCATTATGTATTCAACACATTGGACCAAGACCATAGTGGTTTAATCAGTTTTGAGGTAAGTGGTATTTTACATTATCACATACTATGCGTCAAGTTTCAATGTAAATTTACTTCGATCGCTTTATATGCGAATATTGCCTGGAATCCAAAGGGGTAAAGCTATATGCCAAGCAATAAACTGAACACTTACCAACATTATTAAATGAGTCAGAGGAAATATCACACAAGACCGGGTACCTACGTAATTAAAGCCATAAATTTGTTCCAGTTGAAAACGATTTAACTTTTAATAAAACCATCTATTCGGCCATTTTTCCAGTTGTGTAAATTCGTATTATCTCAAATTAGTTTTAATAAGCGAATTATATGATGTGTTCCGAGTCAGTCGTGCTATTGGTGTGAAAATGGCTTATATTATTTCGAAAGGGTCGCGTCTGAAATGAAATCCCGCGAGCTTGGAATCTAGGTAGTGTTCTTTCTCTTCCTCTTTTAATATAAAATGAAAAAATTACCTACATTCAAACATTTAACGAAACATTTCGAAATTTATTAGAAAATAGAGCAGTGTTGAGTCGACGGAAATCTGCCTTTCTGACTCGACACGAAAAGAGTCCATCAGGTGCATTGTCTCCTTTGAGTTTAGTGCAGGAAATAACATGCAAATTTGTCCATGAAAGGTTACCGACGGCTACTATCTCGTTCGGTCACTTTAAAAGCTAATCTCTCAAAATCGGTGGACTGTAAGAACATTTACGGTATCATTCTTTACAAAAACGCACATGCTATAAATAGTTTCTTTTTTAGCAACATCATTGCATTTTTGATGTTCTTCACAGCAATATTCTCGCTGAAGATATGGTAGAAAACAAATTGGCATTATCAATTACATACTTTTTTTCAATGTTTATAAGAGTAGCAATAGTTCCAATGATTTGTCTGTCTACTATGACCTTCACAATAGAAAATATTCCCATATGTTCCACAAGATTATGTTAAAATTCAAATATAACCGCCAATAAATTCCCGAAGTGGATAAATCCCCCGATTCAATAATGATCAAACAAATTAATTTATTCAATCGCACAATAATTCCGAACCAGTAAACTGATATCTCGAGTAATTCCCATCGATATTGAAAGTACAAGTAATAATATAAAAACAAATTTTACCTTAAGGCGGCTCGATAAGCAATACGCAACTGGCAATACGCAATATTATCGCTGTACCTATTCCACATTGAATTAAATTAGAGGTCTCACATTGGAGCAACTAGTTACGCCATAAATTTCATTCATAAATCCATTGCGTTCAGATAACCATGAGTTTTACCGCTTCAGATTCTATAGACATAAGACATGTAAGTCTGTTGATGTTGAAATAAATAAGGTTGCAATATCATCCCAACTATTGACCCTATCTCAATGAGCTAAATAAACTTGATATGTCCTACCGCTTAAGACTAACAAATTGTCTTCAGAAACATGTCGCGCTTTCCAATTTCAACGCGTTCCAAAATACGCACTAAAGAAAATTCCACGTTTATCTCCAGAACAATGAAGATTGCATTGATTTGTCATAATAGGTTTTATTATTATTATACGTGGACTTGGTCGAACTTCAATTTCTGAAGAATGACTAGCATGAGCAGTTACCACTTTAAAATTAACCTCATCTCCCTACTCTTCAATTAAACTAATACTAGGAGCTATTTTCAAAGCTAAAGGATTTTTCAAGGACCCTTGTGTATTAACCCTAGCGCACCTACTAATAACTTGGACATAATGGTACGTTCCTTGACTATATCCCTATCTACGTTATCAAGTAGATTTAATATACAGGGTCGCTACTAAAAATGGTACAAAAGCTCACACTCAAACCGTTTGAGATCTACTTTAAAATTAGAAAAGAAAAGAAGTCATCCGATGTTGTTTGGCTCTCATTTTTTTTCTAAATGGAAAACTTCGATTCTGTGTTTTGATTATGTTTATTTGAACCTTTAGAATTTTATTGGTCAAGTTGAGAAGAAGGCTAATTGGGAGGCACGACGTCTGGTCGATGTTTCTGGCGACAGCTCGACATCCTCGGCAACAGCGCCGATATTCTCGGCAGAATGGGCGCTCCGGGGCCGGCCACTCTTGGCAGCGTCTCGTGTGGTCCCATACTCTTCAAGGTTGGCGGCCAAACGGCGCAGTGTTTGCGCAGTCGGTTCCGGACGACCGGGGAATCACCGACGGAATTCGCGCTGCGCCAACAGCACAGACGAATTGTTACGCAAAAAAATAGACACGAATATTCCGCGTTCTTGGAGAGTGTATCGCTCCATGGCTTGTTCACTTGTATTCTAAACCTGTCTAGTTCACAAATATCAAAACAGATTTGACATTGGCCGGCATTTGCAAAAATAAGAGCATCTTCGAATAGGGTGATTTCTTTTTGCCCACCTTGTAGTACCTAAATAATGCAGAAAAATTATAAAGTATAAATTGTGCACAACTCATGTGCAGATAAAGCGCATTTTTTTACCCTAATAGCTTTTGTTTTGTCATCACCAATGGATATATCTCTTGCAGACGTCCCAATCGCCCTTTGTGAGTACCCTCTTCCGACAATCCGTTCTAGAGGTACAAGGGAATATACCCGATCACGATAAGAGATCCAGGAGGCGGGCTATGGTTGGTAGAAATTAATTCCTTTGGTTGAGACCTTTTATTAGAGTACCATGTAGGATAAAACTAGTTCCACCCCCCCCCCCCCCCCCCCCCACGCTTGTACTTTGATAACAGGACAGAAAGAAGGGCAGTAGTTTGGTAGGAAACGGTTCCTTTTGTAGAGACATTTAATTAGAGATACAATTTATTTTAGCCCCCCCCCCCCCTCAGGCCCGTCGCTCATGATCGCGGAAAAATAGTCGCAAAACATAGCACATTTTTTAATTTGTTAAAAATGCGTAAAAAAACTTGCCATACGCAAAAAATGAGCTAATTAAATACAAGAAAGAAAGTTCGGAAAGAGAAAAGAGAAGTAACCATCAACAAAACACAGGAGTTTGAGTGTGAAGTATATCTTGTGTAATATATTATACTGTGAAAGGGCGTTAAATTAAAGAAAGAACAATGAATGAGTGTATTTGCAGTGTAACTATTATAAGAATATTTGTACCTACTAGGAGTACTAGGTTTTTAATTTCGAAGATCACGAGGAAGTTGTGGTTGATGGGAGTAATCTAGTTAATGTTATGAAAACTCGTTGTGAATTAATAACAGTATCCTGGATTGCAGAAGTATTTATGATCCCATGATGCAAGAGCGATTTCTTTTACGTTGACCAAAATAATTGTCTAGGCAACCACCGGTGATATTTTTGAAAATATCAGTTCTTATCTTTAATTTCTGTAATATATGCAGCGAAAATCTTAATTCAAATAAATGCCAAACGGTCACCTAACTCCATGCCTCCAAAGCTCCAATTTGCGTATTTCCTTTAATTTCATTATCAGGAACCATGATAAGAATACATATGTAATCAAGAACTTTGCCAAGGTTTCATGCTATGCCCTTGCCCATTATGCACAAATGTTGTAAAATTATCTACTACAGCGTGCCGCACGGCTGGCTAGGGCTGGGGAAACCATGGGATCATTTTTTACTCACTATACAGAGTGTCCAAGATAAGAATGGACGGCATGGGGAAATCGGAAACTATAAAGATACAGAGTCGGTTAAATTAGAAAAAAGTTGCGTATTTTATTTAGGCCTTATTAAAATGATATTTGAAACATTCAGAAATTCCGATCAGTTTCGAAGATATTAGAAAAAAAAAACAAAATTAACCGTATTCGTTTTTATTTTTTTTCTGGCCCTGTTTCAACAGATGTCAAAAAACAAATCACACTTCCTCATACGCACTTTTGAAGCTCTACAAGTTGGTGCCCACAGATTTTCACTGCAACGTTTCGTCTTTGAGAAACCACCATCAACTTCATATTTTTAACACATCGTTCAATAGAGTCTATTAGTGGTTACGTCATAATAGTCCGCGAAAATCGAATTGCAGGACTTGGCTGTTTTACTGTCGGAAATATTGACCCCTATCGCCCTACTCAATTAAGGATCACTTTTAAATAGGTATATTCTTTATGGGCTTATACTGACCTTATGCGAATTAAATAAGCCCATCGGCCACCATATATCGAAACACTGACTACTTAAGTTTAAAAGAGAGCAATAAACGTTAAATGAAATCCATTAATTGTGTTATAATTAAAAATTAAAGATAAGTCTACCATATTTACACTTTACGGTTGGCAATATCCAATATGGAATGATCATGACCTTGTTTTTGTGTTTACATTTTCCCACTTGCTAGACTTGGTCGTTTAGACGTTTACTTGCCTTTAAAGTGTGTTTTTTGAATTTGTTTTAAGTAGCTTTCAATAGTCCTAGGTGTTTTTTTATTATGTTTACATTAGAAAATGTAAACATAGTGAATACGGAATAAGATAGGTTATGATCATTCCTTCTTGCCAATCGTAAAGTGTAAATATGGTAGACATATTTTTAATTTTTAATTATAACGCAATTGATGGATTTTATTTAAAGATTATTGCTCTGTTTTAAAGTTAAGTAAGCAGTGTTTCGATATAAGAGGGTGGATATGCTTATTTAATGCGCATAAGGTCTGTATAAGCCCGTAAAGAGCACCTATTTAAAAGTGATGCTTAATGTATGGGGCGATAGGGGTCAATGGCCCGTATGAATAAAAGTAAGCAAATGCTTTGCAAAATTCAAAGTAAATACTCGTAAGTGCTCCTTCGCACTGGGCGACTTAGCAGCGCTGCTAAGCAGGACAGGACGCAGTGCAGCGCTGCTAAACAAACCAGTATAAAGGGCACTTACTACTTACGAGTATTTACTTTGAATTTTGCAAGTATAAGCATTTGCTTCCTTTTATTCATACGGGCCAATATCTTCGACAGTAAAACAGCAAAGTCCTGCAATTCGAATTTCCCGCTCAAATTTGACGTCACACTAATAGAGTCTATTATAAGTCCCGGGA